TGGTATCACACAGCAGCTTACTATGCTCTAGGAAGGAAGAATAGCGCTTCAGGGAGGTTAGTGATTGCTAACGGGCATTGCCTTCTCTTGAGATATCTACCTCCGTCCCAATGTTATCAATCCTTTCTAGTTACCTGTGCTATATTGCTATATTCCTAAAGAAGTACTGCCAGGGAAAAGTTTCCATGATCTAAACAGCCTTTGCCATACCAGTATTCATCCCTTTTCTACTACCGTACTTGATCATAGCGCTGATAGGGACTAAAGTCACAAATTTCGATCTCGGGCGTGTCCACTGACAAAGAACTGCTTTTCGAGTTTCACCACTCCGAGCTCTCAATAACCTCACCGACACCGGGCTCCGAGCCCATGCCTAGACCAATAGAATATCTGCTGGGATATCCAGGCACAGTGCCGTACCTGCTGGTACCTCTGCCTCGAATGGTAGCTTTTACCCGAATGTATGTACCCGGTACGCCAGGATCCGGAAAGACCTAGCATACAAGATCACCGGTTCCCTATGGGAGAGGGACGTGGTGCTGTTGCCCGAGCGAAAATCACCTTGGGATCGTGGAATCGACCAGCTGTAGTTGTTTCTAGAAGTTTCCCCTATGTTTTAGGCCTTTATTCGGAAGTGGATAGTATTTGTTCCAAGTTTACTACTATTGGCTTGTGCTGAACTCATTACTACAGAGAGTGTTGAGTCTAATATTAGAATATTCACGGCTTTCGGATTGAATCGTAACTCCGAAGGGGACTGTCGTTTCTAATAAACAAAGATATCGATTGGGATTTCTCAGCTTTGTTTTTCCCTTTTTCTTCGGTGAAGTACCGGAGGGTAATCGCCCATTCGCCAGGAACCCACCCGCACCGCGTAAGGATGGAGAGCGAATATATAATTATATATCAGCGTTGCTGCACTACCAGAGGACGGATACCGGCAGCAAAGTTGACAGATGGTGCTGCTGTGCTCAGTTACTAGATATCATATAAAATGGGAACCGGAATAGCTGAACCTCGTGGTAAGAGGTCTAGAATTCCCTCCATTGGATAAAAGGGGTAATACCCTCGGGATAAACTAGCTTTCAGCTCTCTGCTGAGACAGATAAAAGGAAAAAACAACAAGAGACCTTGCTAGGAGTGGCAGCTCCAACGTCTTAGAGCGAGGTTCAATTATTCCATTTCTAGCGATATCCTGACTTTGAGAGCACCTGCCTATCATACAAGTACCAGGTAAGGTGTTTCATACATAGATAGGATAATATTGCCGGTTAGCTATCCCTGTCCTGTACGAAAGCATCTTTCCTGATACTTGCGCTGGAACGAAGGTAATATCATACTCGAATTCCATTGGATAAATCGGTGGGTGAAGATCCCGGAGGAAAAGAATTGTCCAGGAAAATCTTACATCTCTGAATACTTTCGGTTGAGCCATTATTAGTTAGTTTACTTTTCCGGTATGTTACAATGTCCCCGTCTGCTGGATCGGTCCCATCTCACCCAAAGGAGGGGCAAGGATACAGCGTGGCAGTCTGATTCCAAAGAATCATGAGGTCTATCCTTTCTAGAAAATGGGTAGAACTGAAATAGATGTGCCCGATACGACATCCAAGACATTCAGGCTTTGATTCAAACTTGTCTGTCGCGAACAGAGTCGAGGGATATCACCCCTTGATTGGGTTATATTCAACCAGCATCGAGCTAGTGGACCAGATCGTAAAGACCAACGCCTGACTGATGCCTTGTGAGCGACTATCTTGAGCAAGTTTTCACCGCTGTAGCACCATTGCGAAGTAGGCGCATAGCTTCCTTGTCAATGTACCGTATCTGATATCCGCACTTTCCGGTCACGATACAATTCATCCCCGAAATTATAACCAGCGGACCGAGCAAAGGAAAGCCAGAGCACTACACAGCTGCAGTACCTGGATACGGGGCATAGGCATAAGCACGATATAACGCCTTCGGTACTTTATGCAAGGCTGGGAACTCCTGCGAATACAGCGAATGTCTTAGAATGGGGAGGGGAATACGAAGTGCACTGTCCTCATAGTCATCAATGTGCAAACTTTACTCGTCCACTGGGTGTAACTATATATAGCCGTATCCAGGAAACAACTTGGGAAATAGATCACTACGGGTCGCAGAACCGACAGGTTTCACGGCATTTCAGGCCCCACAGGGGTGCGGTCTGGCCTATGAAAGGCGTTGGCAGATCACTCGTTCGTGATTTTCTGCGAGCAGCGGGGTCTCCTCGGCTGATCGGGTATGGGTTGGACATGGGACAACCACCAATGGGAAATAATAGGCCAAGAGTTATTATCTGACAGAGCATAATTGAATTCACAGGGATAGAGTAAGCGATTACCGTACCTTTTGGTTTTTTCCTTTTTTTAACCCTGACTAAACCACCAGTCCATTGAGGTGTTCTAAACCCCGCCGATGGGCTCTGTCTTGCTCAGTGAATCAAATCGACCCCGCCATGGTCAGACACCTTAAGCAGTCTTCCTGCTAGCCAAACAAGCACCAAATATTTAATCTAGACAAGCAATGGTAGGCGGATGCAAAGGACTGTAACTACCGTACCAGACAAAGACAAGTCACTAGACAACTAAAACTAATCTGCAAAAATCCACCTTTTATCCTGCGTATCGGACCGTACAACCATCCAGCTCAAGCACCCCAGGCTGTCATCCAAGCCGTGCATTAGTTAGGTTCCGCAACTATCCGAGAAACCCTCCTAGCGCAAAGCAAAGTACCCACCCGTTACAAATCCCACTCACAGACATATCCTCGCCTACAATTAAGTGGACCAAAGCCCTCATTGAGTTATTATTATTATTATTATTATTATTATTATTATCATTATTTAAGTTCCCACGATGGTTGGAACCTCGTACAAGTACTAGGTGCCCTATTGGTACCCGACACAGTAGGGTACTAGCAGAAGAGATAAAATAACGTTTCCCGTTCAGGCTAATTCCTTTGGGGACATACCTGAGTGTTGGCTGGCCAGAGAGAGAGAGCAGCCCCCCCCCGTATTGATGTGACGCAATCGTACTAGGCTAGGGGCTGACATGACCCTGCTGGGCTACTGTATCGTACCGCATTAACAAAAACGGAAAAGTGATAGGATGCCCGCCGAATAAAAACTTGGGGACCGAATGTCCGTCAGCGGAGAAGTCAAGGGTAAAAAATCCTGAGTGATGTGTACTGTACTGTACTCGAGTATGGTAAATTTACAGTACGGAATGGTAGGCCAAGGAAGTAACCCAAAGTGAACTTGGACATCTCTACACAAAAAACAGCGTTCCCCCATAACTTGCCGAAGCTAGGCCGAACGATTTGGGATCGCGGTGGGGATTAAACGATATCGAATTTGTTTCGACCGGTCAGGTCAGGTGGAGCAGCAGCAAGGCATTCTGAAAGTGCAAACGTGATACAGTATGACACTGCGATAGCTTGAATCGAAAGTGGTATCTCCCCGATATGAAACACCGGGACTGTACCCACAACAGCCCCGAAAAGTGAGGACAAAGGACAAAGGACTTGGGAGGAATGAACCTCCCGATCCGCAGATGAAATACCACACCCACCCAGGTGCTAAGCTTTTTTTACCTTCTTTTCTCGCATTTCTATTCCATCCCCCCGCTCCTACTTTGGCGAATACTGTACTATATCGTACCAGTCCCCCGGACCGTGATGGAGGATGTAGCAAAAAACAAGCCCGCCATCCCTCAAACTCCGGGAGAATGACGTAGCTATACAAGAAGTGTGAACCATCACAAGCTTCTGTTCAGTTAAGTACCGGTAATTCACTCCCCTTTACTTTGCTTCACTTCATTCCCCCCGCCCTCAAAAAAAAAAGAAAAGAAAAGACAGCTGAGAGATACCCCCTCCCCCACTGGGCCTTTATAGACATCCCCGGAATGTGTACTTATAAGAGTACACCCCATCCCATACAACCGTGGCACAATTGTGGTATAGATGGGGGGGGGGGACCAGATTCACACATGTGCAATAAATAATGCCGCCTTGCTTGCGCATGATACTGCACATGGAGCCGTACCGTACGTACTTGATACCGTAACGTACCACAGCCACAAGTCCATCGCATATACATAACATGAGCAGGTTAAGCGCCCTGGAAACCAAAAAAAAACTGTGAAGGACGCCCCAACCGTTAGCCCAGCCGTCCGCAACGCCAAAGGTGCAAGAAGAAGGGAAAAAATGGCAACGGCAACGGCAGTACGGCACCGGTACGATACGGTACTTCCTAGCCAAGCTCATGATCCCGAAAAAAAGCAAGGTACCGTACTCGAGTACCGTACTCATACAAGTACCATTACCATCCCCGGTGCCGCAAAGAAAAAAAAAACCCCCCTTGAAATGCACAGCCGGTACTGTACCAAATTATCAGCGGAAATCATCCCGCCGGTTCCCGTGATAGATGGATTTAATCGAACGGGTTAACAGATTGCGAATACGGTACGGTACTGTACTGTACGTGCCGGCTACCGTGCTGTGCTACGGTAGTACCAGGTGGACGAGATCTCTAACACGTCCCGTTGGCGTGCCGATCCCACACCGACTCGAGAAGGTCCTCGCTGGTCCAATCCCCCCCACTGGGGGAAAGCTCTCGTCTGGACCCCGCCGGGTGATTAGAGCTACGAATACAGGTTTGGCGGACATGAGGATTTCGAGAGCTGAGTTTTTCGCGGTACGTGGTTACCTACAGTAGTGTATCGCGGATGCGGGGTGGAGACCCTCCGCACCGTACAAGTTTCCGGTATGATTTGATTTGTGGCGAGGTACAGTACAAGTACCGTACCTGGAGGCAAGGATCAAGAATTTGTACTGGTACTCTGTACTCGTATAGTGCATGTGTCATGTGGGAAATTGCGCTGCGCCCGCGCTGGATTTGGAATCGACTGTCCAAGTATTGATACATACTTGCTTCATGCTGGGTACAGGCTGTTGTCTCACAGCATATCCTGATGGCCAAAATTTTTAGGATTTCATCCGCCGCAGTGGTGCGTACATAGGGTACTACGGTAGACCGCGAAGGGGGGGGAGGGATAGCGATACGGTACGAGTACTTGCGGCGAAGGGTTACCGGTATGTTGCCCTTGGCGGTTTGGCGGCCTTTCTCTCCTCCTTTAAGTTTATTAATCCAGTTGAGTGAGGCTCATATGATTCTTCCCTTTCTCTCCCATTCTTTCTTTCGGTCAGTCTATCTACACTCCAAATTATATCCGCAAACAGCAGAAGAACTCGCGCTCCCCCCTGTCCACCCAACTATACCAAGGTGTAAAGAATATTCACATCCTTTCATCATTTACATTTTGGGAACGGATCTTCTTAAGTTCTATCACGGGACGGGGTTCGGCGGAACACGGTAGAACCGTATTGGAGTACCGGTACTTGAGTGCTATCCAAGAGCAGGGGGGTAAAGAGCGTTCAGATTCCATACGAAGCCGAAACCCTTGCCATCCAGCTGGATGAGTCCTTCCATACGAGAACTTGGGGGCTATGATACCATAGGATTCTCATGGACTCAGCAAGCCAAACTATCCGGTTGAGTGAGATCCGGGACAGCGGCGTGTGACTGCATGATACATACGGTCCTTTTACGGGCCATTGCCCTACCCTACAGTATTCGCACCCTACGTCCTGCAGGGAGGGAGGGAGGGGAAGGGAGGTAAAATAAAAGTTGGGACCATGAGAGGTGTGGGTGTGGTGGTGTGGGGTTGGTTACACGGCCGGATCGGGAAGTTTCTTCTGCCTTTCCTAGAGTTGATTCAAGATGAGGTTTTTAATTTTCGGGGTACGGTACTTGGGTCATTGGTACTCGTGCACCGGACTCAAGTGAGTGGGTACCGGCGCTGTAATGCACCGATGGTAGGGAGGACGGGTGGATAGAGCAGGAGACGTCGAACGATGCACAAAATATTTGGTAAGGCTGTTTGCTGTACAGTACCCCTCCTGTTCGTTGCCTACTCTACTGCTGGTACGTTATGGTTTAGTTTGGTACCATGGAAGTCTATTTTTGGAAGATATAAGAGTTTTGGTATTAGAAAAAAGAAAGGGTAACTTTAAAATTCGTGGGGGGGTTTCTTTCTTTTTTTAAGGGAAAAAAATAGAATAAAGACTAGAGTAAAAAAACGATGATATTCTCTGGGGGAGAGTGGAAGCGGAATTGGGATTCAGTGGACACAGAGACAAAATGGAAGAGGGTTGGTGTTTAGTAATTGAAAGGTTCGTGAAGTGTAGCAGCCTTGATCATGCTGCAGAACTCAGCTGTGGGTGAAGGGGATGACCAAGTTGGTGATTAAGTGAGTGACACGAGAGGAGATGAGAGAGTATAGGTCGGGGGGGGGGGATCGAACGATAGTCCACTTACAGCTTCAGCTCCGGCACCCTCCAAGGCCAATGTATACAACAATCTACAACTACTATACAGCTCCCCTAAGAGAGTATAAAACCCCCCCTCTACCTCCCTTCCCCATCTTCAATTCCTCACCAGCACCGGCCCAGGAAAGCACACACAAGCCAAGTCGCGAATCCTTCACTTGCCTCTTTTCATAAACCCACCAAAGAAGCCTATCACAGCTTCTTCAACCCAAATCACAAAAAATGCAGCTCACAACCTACATCCTCGCATCCTTCACCCTCCTCTCTACCGCATTGGCAAACCCCGTTGGCAATTTGGTTGAGCGCGAGATCCTGTACTGTGGTTCTCAGCCATACCACCCTGAAGACGTACCCCCTCCCTCCCTCCCTCTCCCCGATCGTGCTTTGCACGGGCTGGCCACTAAAACTGAAGGAATGCACACATTAGTACACCTGCTACCCCGGCAATAAACTCTGCCCGATCACCGGCGGAGTTATCTATCAGCCATGCGGTGCTGCCTGTTTCGACCCGGCGAATTATACTTGCATTAATGGGGAACTTAGGCCCGTTGGGACCTGCAATGGACAGGTTTATGATAAGAACTCTGTATTATCCACCTTCCTCCCTCGCCAATGTGAGACCGTTGCTGATAGGGAATACGACAGTACGTCTGCGTGGAAAACCACCTTTGCCCAAAGACTCACCCGAACCTTTGCGGCGAGGCTTGCTACAGCCTTAGCCAGTACCATTGCGTGAACGGACAATTGGTTCAGAATTAGGCGCTCTTCCTGGGAGAGCCGAGGGGAGGGGGAGTGAGAGAAAGGGGAGGGGGAATGTAAGAGGAATAGTGGTGGGTACACTAATCGGATCTAAGTAATCTTAAGATCGGGCAATTCATGACTAGTGTTTCTTATGTTGACAATTGCGGATGGATGGATGGTGGTATGTGCTTTCCGGAGAGCGGTGGGTTAGGGGTTTACGGCTTTCGTTGGAAACATTAATTGTATTGGGCACGTTTTCTTACTTACCTTCTTGGCTTTTTCTGGGAGAGTGGGGGAACGGCCAGTATCAATCAGTAACGATTCACAAATTTTTGGGGGTGGGAGAGTCAATGAATGGACCGATGATTTATATGTAATGAGCCTTTCCAGTACCGAGACCTCAAGGTGGAAGAATAAATAATTGGCAATAAATCATTCAGATAATATTCGATTTCCACTATGATAATATTATACTCTGTTAAAACCCCAATTTTCAAGACAGAAACCGCAATTCCACCCCAGCCACCAGAGGAGCCGAGAGCAGGCCCCGGAAAAAGAACCCCCTTCAAGTCAATCCATTCCACCTACTACCCAAAACCAAAGTAAAGTTCTCCCCTCCAAGACCTATATAGATACCCGACCCTTCCAACAAGAGATCACCAAGAGATCCCGTTAGACAAACCCTTCTACAGAAGACACGCCTCTACAAAATAGTCCCATAATAAGCCATAATTCACAACCCATTCTACAATCGCATTCACTCAATAAGAGAGAGAGCGCCAGAACCAGCTGGTACGATACACGGTAGCATATATCACACCCTGAAACTGGTATCATACGATATCACCACGCCATAAACTGTAGTACCCCCCGACGTCCGACAAACAAAACGAACCAAACCAAACCCAGAAAGAAAGAACCCGCCGCCACCGCAACCTAACCACCCGTCCTAACATACACCACATCATCAGATCATAAGCACCCTCACAATAATAAACGACACAAGAAAAGAAAAAAAACTATAAAAAAAAATCTATATATCATACACCATACCACCTTCCACCACAACTACAAAACAAAAATTAATCACGGTCTACATGGAGCACGACGACCAAACCATAAAAGAAATCATCCCGGAACAACCGAGTGAGCACCCATGAACATCCACAAACCCCGCTGGTCGTGGGGTACCATACCATACCATACGGTCACAAAACACCACTCCCAACGAGGGATGGTAGAAATGGCTGGTGACTGATCGGCGCATTGCTAGTCGGTGCCGATAGGAGGAAATTCGGGGATTTCGGATGATGTGGTGCCTTTTTCGAGGATAAATTGGCGATTTTGATTTTGATTTTTTCATTCCATTTTACTTTTACTTTCTTTCCCAATGGGCTGGGTGGGAGTGGGGTGTGGGATGTGCGGTGCTGTGAGTGCAGCATGGTACAGTATAGTATGCTAGGAGAATACAAGTGGAAATGTGCTGGGACGTTGGTTACCTTCTCCTACTTGTATGATGGGAGGGTGCTGGGTACTAGTATTTTTTTTTTTCTTTCTCCTTTTGCTGTCTTGACTCAGGCTCGGTTTCCGGTGATTTCTCCACCCGTCCCAGAAGGGGGGGGGTCTCGACGACCCAGCACATTTCTCTTATATTCAAGTACTTACGGCGCCTGTCTACCGGGGCACTACCTCGCAGTACGGCAGTGCAAGGACCAATGTTACATGGAGGCGGAGAGATAGAAATACCCTAGTATCTAAAACGGAATAATATAAAGCCCTTTATAACCTTACTTAATTATCATACACTCGCAATCCCTACTCAAACATGTAATCTAAGGCCCCAATCCTACAAGTACAAGAGTAGATTAGTTTTCGCTAGGATCCGCTCTTACGGCGTCGACAAAGCTTTCATTCTCCAGGTCTACCGGTTTAGCCGGTTCGGCCTCTTCCCTGGGAGCAGCCGACTCAGATGCATCCTTGGAGCTCTCTCCCTTCTCCTCTTCCTCCTCTTGCCCGGAACTCTCCATAGCAAGCCCCATTTCAACTACGCCAGTGAATCCGCCTTCCCTCAGACCCACCCCCTTTACTAGCTCAAACTCTTTGCCTTCTACGACAACTGCGCTCTCTCCCAACTCGCCACTTCCCCGCTCCGTCCCCTCATACGCCGGGAGCTCCTCGCCGCCCTGGACAAACACCCTCGCGAGTTCATCTTCGACGCTCTTTAGCCTATCTCTTAGACCCTCCACACTCTTCATCCTCTCTTTGAGCTCTCTGAGCTCATGCTCCACGCTACTGCGCTCCCTTTCTGTCCCGATTCTGTCAAATTCCCAGCTGCCGCCATCCAATTGCAATTGGAAGGTGTGATATTTCTTGAGCTGTGCACGAGTGGATATCGTGATTAGGGTTATCCCATGTTCTTTAGCAGTTTCATAGAGAAGGCCCTCAACGTCTTGGGAAACAGCAGATGTTCCCTCATCAATAAAAGCATATTTAGGCTCCTAAGTAACGTCAGCTCATATATTAAGGCCCCTTATGTAGAGAGTACTCACGTGATAGAGAAGTCTTGCCAAACTGATCCGCTGCTTTTCGCCACCACTCAAGACGTCTTTCCACTCCTTGCGACAATCCCATCCATCCTCTCTGTCTGGGAGATACCCCAGACGGACGGCGTCCAGTATTCCTTTTAGTTCATGATCATACCGTCCGTCTGCACGCATCTCCATCTCCGTGTGTGGATAGATAACTTGATCCTGGAAAACAAGAGGATTGGCATCAGAATATACAATCCAAAACGATATGCGCATATAAATCGAAGAATAGCTCACCCTCAATGTGCCCTGGGCGAGGTAGACTCTCTGGGGGAGGAACATAATGCCACCAATCCCTCCCCCACGGGGCCTGCTGACAAGGCCTCTGTAAACCGGCCAAAGTCCCGCAACAATCCTAGCAATACTCGATTTCCCAACACCATTGGGCCCTAGGATTAGCAAGTGCTCGCCTTCCCTAACCGTGATGTCCAGGCTCTCCACCAATTCTTCTCCGCCTCTTGGCCAGAGCCCTGGGACAACAATGGGAACACCCTCGAGCCTGACGCCGTCGTACCCCTTATGAAGGGTACCTTGAATATCGGCCATTCCGTATAGCTCAGGTCGGGGAGTCGAGTATGCTTGGGAATGAACTCTGTGAAGTGTTGATACAAGAGTGTACACTCTCGAGGTATAGCCCGCCAATTCAGAAAGGTCCTTGAAGGAGTACATCATACGACCACCAGCATCCGCAAGCGACAGCATGAGCCTCTTGTTAGTAATAAAGCCTTTCATTCTATCTCTTTCCCTGCCCGCAGGCCCAGCTCCAGCGAGTTCGAGAACACCGCCAAGGCCACCCCAAGCAGGCAAGAAAACAGGGAGAGAGGTGATCAAGTATCCAAAGGCCGCTTAACACTCATTCTTAGCACCACCAAACTGAACTGAGAGGGGCAAACTCACACCAGCTGTACTTCAAGACAAAATCTTCAAGCATGTTGTATTGTATTTTAACCTGATGTGGCATTATCAGAAAACCACCCGACTAAGTTGAAACACCAGGAAGTCCTACATTGTAAATGCCCTCCATGATTTGTTTTAGGTCTTTGAAGCCTTTCTCCAAGAACACCTTCTCCATACCAGCGCCGCCGTAGAAGGCAACCTCTTCGGCATTTCCAATCAACCGGGCTATAGAAGGTTGATAAGTAAATCAACTGGCCAACGCATAATTGCACTTACTATGCAACCCTCTAAAGTCACCCTCACGCTTAGCTTGGGCAGCAGCAAGCCTTCCAAATGGCGGCGAGAACTTCTTCAACATCCATGCAGTGCCACCATAATTGAGCAAGATGCCTGCCAATGCCACCGGACCCAACGATCTCATAAGTTGGTAATTGAATACTACCAAGTCCAGGAAGGGCTTGCCAAGAGAAGAATACAACGCGGCAGCCGAATCACAGAACAGTGGAAGATCAGAAGTGATAAACTGATCAGCTCCCCCGCCCGTCAAGCCTCCATCGAGATTACCAAGCTTGTAATATGCTTGTCTATCATTAAGATACAAGTCATGCATGTACCGAGTCAAACGAGTGCGGAAAGCTATTGAGATTTTTGATTGGAGATATTTTATCTGAGAAGCTCGATATTAGGTTCTCAGTCTTCCTATTTGTAGAACGAAAGGGATAAGGTACCATGGCATTGCAATAAACAGCTGGGCCGCCGACACCAAGCCATTTTACAATACCCCAAGAAAACGCCTTCCCATTCCCAGCAACAAGATCTCGAACAATCTCACCGTCCAACCTTGCAACTACCAAACTGAGATAGGTTCTGCTTATCAGGAAGAAGGTGTGAAGCAGTAGCAATAGACTCTCTTTGCTCGTGAGCCGAGGGACCATAATACTGAGAAGACTCAAGAATTGATGAAGAAAAGCCAAATTTAGCCCCGGCTTAGTATTAACAGGAGGGCCCTCCCCCACATCAGCGCCGCTAAACGAACGAGACTTCCGGCCCCCTAGAGGTTCGAGAAACAGGCGACGGTGGGCATCGAAGGTAGTGGATTTAGTCGGTTTTATTATTACTTTGGCAGTGGTTTGCTTGTAGGGAACATAGATCAATCTCGAACCTAAGACCAGTCAGATCATCCTTAAAGGAAGCCCCAAACAGGTAAGGCCTTATGGATAAAACCCACCATCTTTGAGCTGGATCGCAGAGTTCCGTCGCAGAAGCACGCGACCCCGGCCCTCATCCGCCTTCCTTCGCCGCCGCCATCGCTCGTACAGGCCACCAAAGAGAGCGCATAGGAGAGTAGCAGCGAGAATGCGGAGTGATTTAGGAGAAGAACGCAGGAGCTTCGTGTACTGATCTAGCAGTATCACGAGCGAAGGACGAAGTGTTGACAGGTTTGCCATACTGAAGAGGGCGCTGTGGGGTGATGTTATACAGATAGCATAGGCGAAGTAGGCACGAACGACCACTGATGGGCAAGTGGGAGTTCCAAAGAGTGGATAGTAACGAAGACCTTGAATGGTTACTACAGTCGCCCGCAATAGTGACCTTTTCGGGGAGCCCAGTGATGAGAACGGAGTTCAGGGGGAATGGGGGGGAATTCCAGAAACGGCTCGGAGGAAACGTGGGGAGAGATGTCGAAAAGTCCCTGCGGACAACTCTGCTTCCCCAAAACACAGTCCCCCTCGGCATGTGACGAGGGTCGAGTTTAAGCCTGTCCCACCCGTGCTTTCCCAATGACATCAATACGGCCTATCCCTAAAGAGTAGAAAATATCAACCTTTGAATCGCCTGCTTAGGTTATTTATCACTTTGTAAATTTACCATTTTAGGCTATTTTCCTTAATCGGACATTTTAACCTCTACACAAAAGTTCAGGTAACGGTTGACCGCCGAAATTTTACCGCGAACCCTCCAGATCACCACCACCAACGGAACGCCTCTATCCACCCCTCACTACCTCCCCTCTCCCCTATCATGCAGATATCCCTCCTCCGTTCGTCGACGGTCCGTCAATTGGCCTCTCGTCGATTTGCTTCAACAACCGCCGAATCCGCATCCCAGGCTGCCTCTCAAGCTACATCAAAAGCACAGGATGCCGCAAAACAAACCGCTGCGAAAGCGCAAGATGCAGCAATAGCTGCTGCCTCTAAACTCATGTCTGCCGCTAGTGGGCTAGGGAATTCGCTTGGAAAGGTCGGTGGAAGGACCGGGCAATTGATCAAAGGTGTAGAATGTGAGCGCCGGTTTTTCCATCTTGTATATTTTGTTCCCCTGTTCGATGGTCAAGTGGTCTTCCGGGAGCGGGAAAGCGAATTAATTGAACGACATCGATCCACGTCCCCTGGTATAAGATATCGGCATATGAAGCTTGATCGAACCACATTACATCCCACTCCCGCCATTCAAATTTGATGTTCTGCGCTGCAGACCGAACTTTCACAAGTACTGACAAACCCCCGCCGGTGAACAGCACTCATTCCTCCAGCTATATACTACGCAAAGGTTGCAAAGGAACTTTCAAAATTGGTATTTAATGGGCAAAACATGTCCCCTCCGTACTTCTCCCGCCCCCTCCCCCACATACCCCGCCATCACTATCCCTCGTACTGACGACCTACAAGCAATATTGAAACATTCCAGAAAACATTCTCTCCCATCATAAATAAGCTCAAGAACCCCAGAGCCCTTATCGACTCAGCATCGACCTCCCCTACCCTCCAGCCCGCCTTCATCCTTGCCCGGCTTAAGGCATTTACTCCACAGGAATATGCTCAGGCTGGTGTCTTAACCGCCGAGGTCAGCCCACTTCTCTGCGCTGATAATCTTCCACGACTCTGATCGCAACTTCTCAATATAGGTTATTGGCTTCTACACTGTCGGAAAAATGATTGGTCGCAGAAAGATCGTTGGATACCGCGGTGGAAATAACGACCATCACTAAACCCTCTTCTTTTTTTTTGTCGTTGCGGTGCTAGAGCGGTGGTGTAAAGGGAAAGGTTCGGGGAAGCAGGTTACTATAAAAAAATCTGAGGCAGGGTTTGGATCTTTGTATAATCCTTTCTAGAATTGCATATCCCAAGTTCTTTTTTTTTCTCTCTTGTTTAGCTTCTTGAGGGAGGTATACAACTAATCATAGGGGGTCATCATATTGGGTCTGAAAAGTTTCATACAATCATGGAAAAATATTTAATAAGGACCTGTTCGGCGGGCAGCAAATAGCGCGGTATTTCCGCCACAGCGCTTTCTTCAAAATTATAATAGACATGGCGGCAATAGAGGGAAGAGGGGGATGGGATGTTTGGTACGATAAAGATTTCGAAAATAAGAATCCAAATCAGATAAGATCTTTCAGCCAAAACCCTACCCCCGATAACATTTTTAGTCATCCGGGACCATTCTCCCAGGCATTTTTGCATAATAACAAGGAAATGATAATATCATCATACAATACCGTATGATATTTACCCGGAAAATCCACCATCTCCGGTAAGCTCTACAGGTTCCAGACAGCGCATACCATACTTGGTCAGGAAAACGCTATTCCTTCGTGAGGTGTTTTGTCCCTCGTTATGGAGATAAGAGCCCTACCGGAGGTGGTGGATAGTCCGAGTAAATATAAACACGGGTAACACCGGTATTATCACAATACCGGTAACGCCATAAAGTACCGGTACAGCACAGCCACCGCTAAAGGCCAGTATTCTCAGAGAAATGTCATCCCTCTGTCTCGGAGCATATGCCGTTTTCGGGAGCCATCGCGATATTCCCAGATCAGCACAAGCACCGTACGCGCCGAAGAGGGCCCAAGTCCATGAGTCGGTATCCACCTTTCGGACCATTTCAAGGGTCCCCCCCCAGATATGTAGGTTGACGGATGCCTCGGAGGATATATTTACACAGGCACCAGTCGCACCTTACGACATTTTAATCTCAACCTTTAATTTTCGCCAGCCGCAGCAGCTGCAGGTTGCAGGTTGCAGGTTGGTCGGGGGGAGGGGAGAATACAGAATTCCCGTACAGTACAGTATGATGCTATTGGCACGCAGCGCATTTGTACAACATTCCCCGCTATATTCCAGAGTAGAGGTAGCCGGTACAGTACTCGTTCAGTTCTGTGCGAGCACAGCACCGTACAGCACACAGCCTTTCAAAGGTTCCCACTACTATATCGCCCGGTTCGACCGACCAAGACTACTCGAGTACCAAGTCAAAACCAATGGATGTGCCTTGTCGCAATAGCTTAACATAGTTCCCTACACCTACCGGCACTCTCAAACAGCACTTCTTTCCCCCCCCCTTTTTTTTGCCACGGTTGCCCCACTATTTCCTATTTTCCCGCAAAAACAGGTCTCTCGGATACCGGTATTGCGAGTTTTCATAAAGTTGTGTGCAAAAACATTGGCGAGTTGAGGAGAGACAAAAGTGACGGCATTCTGCTGGCTCCAATTACTCGTATTGTACCGAGGCTGGCTTGTCCTGATTGTCGATGAATTCCTCAAAGAAGACTATCACTTCCTTTCCAACATGATTTGACATGTCTAAGACAATCGGGTTTCTGTCCTCAACCCGACCAGTCCTGCACTACCGTACCGCACCGGCACCTTCGAGAGCCGCAATACAGTATTACGAGTGAGTACTCATGCTGTATGGTGCAATAAGCCCCACCTGCCACTGGACCCTAAGAGTAGAATACCGGCAGTCGACCACCAAAAGCAGTACCGGTACCGGTACTGGTACTGTACTGGTATCATAGCAAGTACTGTACTGTATCGTAACAAGCACTAGCACTGTACCCGGTACTCCCCAAAGAAGACCTAACCGCACCACCCAGACAAAAATAAAAATAATGAATTCAAAAAAATTCCCTCCCCGGGCTCTCCGCCGCCGTGTGATAGATAGGCCTTGTATCACCCACGAGGCAACCATCCCGTGGGAATATCTATGATATCGCAACCCCTATCAATAAACCACCAAACCGCTCGAGATAACGGTACAGTAGCCAACTATCATACATGTAACCAACCAACGGCGCCCAGCCAACTAATCGCTCCCCGCCGCCCAAGCACTGCGCTCGTACAACCCGACGCCCAGATTTCCCCATACCGTATTCACCTCATCCTTGGCCCGCAAACGTACCGGCTACCACCCGCTCGATCAGCAGGGAAAAAGGGACAAGATGGGAAAAGAGGAAAAGAAAAGTAAAGAAGGAACATAATCGACTGATGCTCCCTCCCCTTCCCTTGTTTCAGCTCAAGTTTCCAGTCCTCCAGCGCGTGATGTGACCTTTTTCCATAGGGCGGAGGTTTTATCGTGTTTACTTTTTTTTCTTTTCTTTTCCTTTCTACACCTATAGAGGTATGGTGCCCTCGGTGGGCGTCGGTGTTGCCGCACAGCACTGTACTCGGCGGCGGGGGGGGTGCTGTGCTGAAGTACCATTTGTGCAATAATGCGAGACGAGGAGAATGAAAAGATAGTACCGTAAGGGTACTGTACTGTATGGTGGGGAAGCAATGCACGCTTTGACCCGGGCTTTTGCGATGGAACGGATCGATGTACTGTACGGACGGAATGGAGATGTTTGGCGCTGAGGGGCGGCGGCTGAAGATGTACCGATATTCGTGACGAGGAATATCATACAGCAGGCATGGTATGATAATTACAGTACCATTTTTATACAAGTAGATTTGATCTGCACACCAACGGGCACAATACTGTAACCAGCAAGGAGCAGGATGTGGAAAGTCAGGTGGGTTTGAAGTGCAAAATTACTGCAAAGGGGGAGAGTTTGAACTCTCGAGGTTTTCTTCTTTTTCCTGATTTCTTTCTTTCTTTTTTACCCCTTCCTCCTCAAGGACGACGATAGCTGAGTTTTGGTCCGTCTTCCTCCAATCGGATTGAAAGTTGTGCCCGGAATTGTAGATCTCACATCAGATGGAAGTCACTCGTGCGCGTTGCGGAGCGATGTACTGTACCAGGTAAACCTTAGATATTTGCGGTATCGTCCTGTGGCGGATGTGCTGCTCTCTCCTTTCCAGCTGGACCATCATCTATGATACAGGTTTGAGCGAGGATATGTTTCTTTGTAAGCACGAGCTACCACCCTAATTCCAGAACCCTTTATCGTATCATACCTTCTTTTTTCTTTTTTCCCCTACCCCATGTGGGGAAGGAGGTACAAGGGGAGGAAAACTTTTCCTAACCTCCAAGGCTGTTTACCTATTGTACCCGCCCTGCCTTACCGTACCCTCCATCTGCTGCATCTACATGTATCTAATACTTGTATCTACCACGCGCTGGATGTATGGTGCAGCATTTGCTTCCCACCCTTTCCCGCTCGTGTGTGCTATTGTTGGTTCATGGGCACAATGGGGAAAAGGTTAGGGTTGAAGCAATTAATTAATTAATTGTCTTATTATACGATGCTTGACTGCTCGTAAACGCCAATCGCGCGGTTGTGGCGTGCACTGCTGGGTTATCCCTTCCCCGTTCCCCACCCCCCCTCCCTCCTCCTCCTCCTCCTCCTCTTGGGATGCATCTCCATTTTCATGTCCACTCGCATTTCGCCGGGAGCCAATTAGCCGTGATGGCTAACTTTTCTCTCTCTTTCTCGTTATGTCTCCCTCTCATTCATTCATTCATCCATTCTTCCCCTTCTCCTTCTGTTTTCTCCCCGATTCTCACACGCGCACCGTAAAATCAAATAGATTTACCCTCCCTTCCCACCTCTCCACTACGGGTGCGGTGCACAGCGACATGCATACATACGTACGTACATACATGCCTAACATTGGAAATGGAACACTAGCCGCCCCTCGGTCTCGGCAACAAGAGTGATTGGGGAGTAGGGGGGGGGGGGAAGAAATGATTCCATGATCTCCCTCCCATGTCGCAGGTGCTCTTTCACCGGAACTGGTTCCACCATTGCACATCCAGGAACCAGCCCAGTAGAGTAGACTAATCACAGTAGCAGCATACCGTACATACTTATCATACCTACCATCCAGAGTACCGCTCCGTGAACCATTCCACAACCATTACCCACCCACCCC